TTTTATAAAATTCTCCATTTTTTTTCTATCATAATAAGAGATTACTTCGATAATTTTAGATCCATTGATCTCATTCCATCTTACCGTAAATCGTGTGGCTAAAAGACTCTCTGCTGTGTTTCCATCTATTGGTCATACTCTAAAGTCGATACACACAGTTATCGATAATTGCATATATCGATTGTATTCGATAACTATCGATTATTTAAAATAAGTTTTTTGTATTAAATATTTTTTTTAACCATAAACACTTTTTGTTAAAAATTAGTAAAAATAAAAATAATTATCTTACTATTAAATGTAAAGATAAATAAAAATTATTATTTGTAAATTTTTATCAGTTTATCAGTATTCAATTATCATTTAATTAAATTATTATTTTTACTGACAAAAACTGTCTTTTAAAATAATATATGCAAGGGAATGCATTTTGTTAAAAATATAAAATTATTTCTTATACATTCACAGGTTTGCAAAGATAAGTTTAATAATATTTTAAACGTATTTGAAGTAGTAAAAGCACTGTGTAATATGGAAATAATAGTTAAATACTTAATTCGGTTGTTTTCTTTGCTATGTAGATTCATTCTTTTCATTACATTAAAAATAAAATTAAAAACACAATAAACATTATTTTTATATGATAACAAATATACATTTTTTAAAGCAATAATATGTATAATAGACTCCCTCTTGACCGGCCCGAATGGGACCGGAGCTCTGACTAGATAAACAAATAGCCGGTTAATCCGAGGATATCACTTATAGGTTGTAAAGAAAATAAAAAATACATATATACACATATACAAAGAAATCAATAATGAGCTTCAATATGGTTGATGATGAGTTTGATGTGCAACGGTTATCGATTGTCTTATGTCAAAATTCATTACTGTTAGGGAAAAATCACTATCTATTTCTACGGAAACTATTGGTTGGTTACAACGGAGTCAGGTAAGAGAGAGTCTACTGTAATATTACTACGTCTTTCCATTTTAAACTTAATGTTTATACATATAGAAAAGAGTCTGCATAGTATCTTGTTATTTATTTTACAACTTTATCACAATAAAAATACTTAACAAAATTAAACTATATTAATCTTAGCAAATTCATGAATATATAAGAAGGAATTGGTATGTAGATGCACTTATTTGGAAGGATATAATGATATTTGGGTCTGAACGATTAATTTAATGTGGTTTAAAAAACCGATATATTTTTTACTAAACAATAGTTTAAATTTATTATGAAAATTTAATAATCTCATAACAAGTATATTATACTTAAATTTCTATATTTCATTAATATATATTCATGTGAAATTAAATATATATGCACTTAATCACCATAAATGTTTTATATTTATTTTATACAAGTGTTGTAAATATATTTAGTGTATATTTAATTCATGACTATAAATATAAAATATTTAGTTTATCTTTAAATTACTTTTTAATTCATTCAACAAGATTGAACCTATTACCATTTTTTCACAGTTTACACAAATCATTAATGAATCGTTTTCTATCATTTTTATTGTCACTAATATTAAGGACTTTGATGCTAAAGTATGGGCGGCAAACCTGTGAGAATAATAAATATTAACCAAATGTACAAAATCTTTTAATCTTATATTAATTTTCATTATAATGCAGACGACAATTTATTTAAATAAACTATAATTTAAATTTTACTAACCTGATTTCTTCATCACTGCTAGATATCATTGCAACATTCGCAGTCTCAAAAACATTTTGAGAAATAATTTTTTTGTTGCCCGAATATTGCACGGATGCGATATGTTCATTCATACCTTTTAATTTATTTTTTTCAGTTAAAAACATATCTTCCGGTAAAAGTACGGCTCGTATTATTTCTCCAATAGGTGCTTTAATAGTAACAGGGTACGAATGCGTTTCTTCACCAATTGTAAAATCAATATTAAAATTCGCTGGTTGTGTAGAATCATTAAAATTGATACCCAATGTAGAGGATAAATTGGAATTTATTTCCAATAGCGATATCCCCGTGAAATCATGTATAAGCATACCTTTCGGTAAATTCTATAATAAAAGCAAACAACGAATAGTTTTATAATATTCGCAAAATAATAATACAAAGAAGGAGGTCGAATATACATATCATGCAAATTTACCTTTACTCCCATTTGTATATCTTTAATAGGTTCACTGCCTTCATTTGAAAACGTCAATTCAATAGTAACCAAATAAGAACTTACTAAATGCTGCGATCTAGTAAATCGATATTCAATCTTTAAACCGTGACCCGTAATATTATTTAATAATTCTGATTTTTTGATAGGAATAAATGACGCTGATACTTCTCTGATGTCATTTGCAACATTTGAACTGGTAGGAGTAAGAAGACTTCCTGTGCTCAATGGCATAACAGGTGTCATTGGAATCACTAAACGTAATAAATAAAATAAATCAGAAATTCGTGGATACTATATTTTTAAATAATTTTCTGTTTCCTATAATATTGTACCTTACCGTCATCTAACTCTAAAAGGAGATCAATGTTACTTTTTGGTTTTTCCTTTACTTCTTGATTTGACGCTTTGTACTGTTCGTCTTCACTTTCCTGAGAATCTTCAGATGATTCTTCGGAATCTGATTCTTCACTTTCAGACTCACTATTGGACTCATCAGACAGTTTCGTAGATTTTTTTTTCTCGCTATCATTTTCAGATTTACCAGATTCTGATGTATACTCAGATGAGTCACTTTCTTCATCCGAAGAATCACTCGTTGAAGTATCCGAAGATTCATTTTCATTATCCAATTCTAAAAATTAATATTTTTAATTAAAAATAATAATATCAATAAATTGCCTTTAGTTTTGGTAATTTTAAAGCATACCTTCTGCTGGAAGATCATCCTGGAAGACATCACTAGAAAAAAGTTTTTCCTTCCCCATTCCTTTTCTGTCTTTCTTATTTTTTCTATAATATTCATCTCTTATATCTCTCACAGTACCACTTGCAACGTCTCTTACGGATGGATCAGGAGCCACATCAGGAAAAGGTGGTAAAGGGCGGTAACCAGCACATGGCATATCCAAATAATGCGATAATGTACCCAATTGATATCCGGAATTTTTAAATCTAGATGTTAGTGTTGGTGCAGGTTTCAGAGCTAAAAATATTTGTTTTGCAAGTTGTTGAAGTTTTTTCTTATGCCCGTCCTCATCAAAAATAAAACGTCTTAAGAAGCGTGCGCGATCTCTAATATCGTAGTTTTGATCATATTTTGCAAGTTGGAAGACATATTGACAAAATGGTTTAGTTTGAATAGGATTATTTAAACACAATTTTACAGCTAAATTTAAAATTTGTAGCTTCACGATATCTTGTTCATTTACAAAATTTTTTGCCATTTTTCTAAGTACATCTGGTGCTATCTTAGGCACCCTATCTGAATATTCTCCTAAAAGCCATAAAATTGATGCTCTGGCTTGTGGTATAGTTATGAAGTCCATTAATTTTGCCATATGAGCAATTATATTTTTGTGTTCATTTGGTTGAGTTTGTAAGAGTTTCTTTATAACAACAACACTTTCTGCTACAACAGCCTCTAAATAAAAAATGATATAAAATTATAAGTATGTAATTTCACATTGTAGAAACACTTACCATCTCGATTACTCAATAACGAAACTAATCCATTCAAACATGTGTCAGTTACTTCTTTTATGTTACTTGCACATCTCCCAATTGCTTGTATACTTGCTCCAACAAATTCTTTGTCACTACTAGAAATGTATGTTTGGAATTCTCTCAGTATAACTCCAATACTAGTTTCAGTATCCTGGAAGACATCACTAGAAAAAAGTTTTTCCTTCCCCATTCCTTTTCTGTCTTTCTTATTTTTTCTATAATATTCATCTCTTATATCTCTCACAGTACCACTTGCAACGTCTCTTACGGATGGATCAGGAGCCACATCAGGAAAAGGTGGTAAAGGGCGGTAACCAGCACATGGCATATCCAAATAATGCGATAATGTACCCAATTGATATCCGGAATTTTTAAATCTAGATGTTAGTGTTGGTGCAGGTTTCAGAGCTAAAAATATTTGTTTTGCAAGTTGTTGAAGTTTTTTCTTATGCCCGTCCTCATCAAAAATAAAACGTCTTAAGAAGCGTGCGCGATCTCTAATATCGTAGTTTTGATCATATTTTGCAAGTTGGAAGACATATTGACAAAATGGTTTAGTTTGAATAGGATTATTTAAACACAATTTTACAGCTAAATTTAAAATTTGTAGCTTCACGATATCTTGTTCATTTACAAAATTTTTTGCCATTTTTCTAAGTACATCTGGTGCTATCTTAGGCACCCTATCTGAATATTCTCCTAAAAGCCATAAAATTGATGCTCTGGCTTGTGGTATAGTTATGAAGTCCATTAATTTTGCCATATGAGCAATTATATTTTTGTGTTCATTTGGTTGAGTTTGTAAGAGTTTCTTTATAACAACAACACTTTCTGCTACAACAGCCTCTAAATAAAAAATGATATAAAATTATAAGTATGTAATTTCACATTGTAGAAACACTTACCATCTCGATTACTCAATAACGAAACTAATCCATTCAAACATGTGTCAGTTACTTCTTTTATGTTACTTGCACATCTCCCAATTGCTTGTATACTTGCTCCAACAAATTCTTTGTCACTACTAGAAATGTATGTTTGGAATTCTCTCAGTATAACTCCAATACTAGTTTCAGTTGCTAAATTGGTCAAAATGTCTAATTTTAAAAGCTTTATATGTGTAGGATCCGAAGTTCTTACAAAGAATGACTTAAGAAAAGGTTCAAACATTCCCTGTATAAAAATGGAAATTCTTAATTAAAAAAGAAATATTTACCGTTCATTTCTACATTATTTACTTAAATAATTTTTATTTTAATTAATATTTTCTGTATGTCTACGACAAATTATTTTACAGTAACATTAGTACTTACATTACCTTTCTGGTAATTGATATGCTAGTAATGCAATGAAGAACCACACTTTGAACTTCTCTATGCCCTCTTAATAGTCTTATCAATGCTTTAGCAGCAATCATTACTTCTCTTCGTGGTGCAGTATGGTGATATAATTGAGATACTGCCATTACTACAGAAGCATTTCTACTTTGTAAAAGAGGTTTTGTATTTCGTAATAATAATCGGTGATCAGAAACTAATGTTGATTTTGGTTTCTTTGTATTAGATGAATCAGAATCAGAATCATAAAATGGGCGATTTTCATCTTCCTCTATACTCTATAAAAATAAATTTCAAAATAGAGATATTTTACATATATTAAATTAAAAATACTTTTAAAAAATTATACATACACCTACGTTAGGATCAATAAACTGTGTCCTTGCATATCTTGTAAGCATGTTGACTATAACAACTTGGCCCCATTCATCAACATCTACTAACAAGTTACAGAGTTTTCTGTAATTTTTGTGTATCAAATCTATTCTTTCAGGACAAACCTCTTCAAATGCCATTACCGCAGAACCCACAACAAGAGTTGTTTTATCAGATAATAGTTTTTCTAATACACTTGTTAACTCTTCTTTTTGTTCTGAATCTAATGAGTAAAGTTTAGGAATAGCATGTGCTGCAGTTTTTCGGACATATGGTGACATATCACTAGCTGAATCTTTAATAGCAAGCATTACAATAGGCACTATCATAGAAACTCGTATACTTGAAAGCACTCTTAAAGCACTGGCTCTTATTAACTGATTAGGATCTTTCAATGCTCGCTGGAATGTAGAAATAGATAAAAGGGCAAGATCTTGTTGATCTTCTGCATAACGGACCAAATAAACATAAACTAATTTTTTCACTTCAATATTTTTTGATACAACATTTTTTACTACAGCTGGAAATAATTCTGATGCATCTCTTCCTTTTGCTATCATCTGAAAAAATGATTATAATCTTCATTTATTTTTCCTAAACTAAGAGAAGCAAATAAATGTATAAAGTTTACATATATATAAAATAAGTACAAAAATGACAGTAATTTCTTAAATTATATTGGTTCATAATGATGCCCAAAAATTAAATACTAGTGTATGTATACTTTTTATAAATATTTATCAATAAAAATAATAATAGAAAGTTAAGTAACAAGTATAAAGAATTACCCCTATTATACGTTTCATAGCTTCTAACTTAAGCCCATCCTTATTGCTGTCCAACATTTGTTTCAAGTCTTCATGCCTAAAAGAAGGCTACTTTAAAATATTTAACTATATGTTATCTATTAATATATTTAATGACATATTTTATCCTTTGATGTATAATATTTTAAATTTATAAATCATGATTTGAAATGTATATAAAAGTTCATATTTCAAACATGTAAGACAAAGTAAATAAAAATTATAGCAAAAATGTAACAAATAATGAAAAAAATATATTAATTTTTTCATTTATTCTTCCATTCATAATACTTTAAATTT